TGCCCAGGCTGGTCTTGAACTCTTGGGCTCAAGTGATCCTTCCACCTTGGCCTCCCAACGTGCTGGGATTATGGGCATGAGCCACTATGCCCAGCCTAACATGTCAGTTTTGAAAACACTTAACCATTGACTCTTGGAAGTGTTCACCATAGGCAGCATTGCTTACAGTTGGCAGGGAGAATTGTTCAGCTGAAGTAAATATCTTGTACAATGCAATGTGCAGTGTTAATCCCTGCCAGTTTCCAAAAATGCCAACCCTAAGATAGCTTAATTATGTTAAAATATTAATCATTTATTTAAGGAATGCCTTAGATAATTTTAGCTTAAATAGCTTTAATTTAATTTAATACTTAGACTGTGCAAAAGACAGCCTAAGTATCAAAATTTCCAGCTTGCTTTCAGTATGTTGTATTTGATTCTTGGCTTTTCATTTTATTTAATTAATTAATTTGCTTACTTTTTGTGATAGAGTCTTGCTCTGTCACCCAGGCCGAAGTGCAGTGGCGTGATCTTAGCTCACTGTAACCTCTGCCCCCCGGGGTTTATGTGATTCTGGTGCCTCAGCCTCCCTAGTAGCTGGGATTACAGGTGCTACCACCATGCCCGGCTAATTTTTATATTTTTTAGTAGAGATGGGGTTTCACCATGTTGGTCAGGCTCATCTCGAACTCCTCACCTCAAGTGATTCACTTGCCTTAGCCTCCCAAAGTGCTGGGATTACAGGCTTGAGCCACCGCGCCCGGCTAATTTTTGTATTTTTAGTAGAGATGGGGTTTCACCACGTTGGCCAGTTGGGTCTCAAACTCCTGACCTCAGGGGATCCTCTTGGCTAGGCCTCCCAAAGTACTGGGATTACAGGCATGAGCCACTGCACCCAGCTTACTTACTTGTTTTTTAAGAGACAAGGCCTCACTTTGTGGCCCACGCTAGAGTACAGTGGTGTAGTCATTGCTCCCTGCAGCCTCAACCTTCTGGGTTCATGTGATCTTCCTACCTCAGCCTCCTAAGTAGCTGGGACTACAGGTGCACGTCACCACTCCTGGCTAATTTTTATATTTTTAGTAGAGATGGGGTTTCCTCATGTTACCCAGGTTGGTCTCAAAACGCATAGACTCAAGCAATCTGCCCACCTCAACCTCCCAAAGTTCTGGAATCACAGACCTTGGCCACTGCACCAGGCTCGCTTTTTCATTTTAAAGGTATAAAATTATTGGATACTTGGAAGTAATACTGATATTACTGTTTTTTGTTGATTAATAAGCACATGCATTTCTTTAATTCTCAAAGTAGAACTAGAGCCAGATGTCAACCATAAAGAAACCAAAAGGAAACGAGTAGAAGCAGAAAATTCTAAGTCAAAAAGAAAGAAACCAAATGAGTATTCAGAAAATCTGGAAAAGACCAATAGGAAGTCAGAAGAACTTGGCAAAAGAAAGAACTCTTCTGGGATAAAGCGAGATTATTCCAAAGGTATGTTTTCTAAAACATCCCAGAAGAAACAGATTGCTTTGACTACATCTAAAGTGGAAACTAAAACAGTTGAAAATTTTGATATTCTTTTTTAAAAAATTTAATTGAATTGTATTTTAATTTTAGATTTCATTTTTCTTTTTTTGAGACAGAGTTTCACTCTTGTTGCCCAGGCTGGAGTGCAATGGCACGATTCCAGCTAACTGCAGCCTCCTTCTACCTCTTCGGTTCAAGTGATTCTCCTACCTCAGCCTCCTAGGTAGCTGGGAATACAGGTCCCCACCTCCACGCCCAGATAATTTTTGTATTTTTAGTAGAGACAGGCTTTCACTATGTTGGCCAGGCGCGTCTTGAACTCCTTACCTCAGGTGATCCATCTGCCTTGGCCTCCCAAAGTGCAGATATTGATATTCTAATAATTAGATGATGACAGTCTGTACCAGAAATATTAACGTCTTCCATTCCTGGCAAATGAGAGTTTTTCCTTCTTGTCCTCGAACTCTTTTGTTTTTTAACTTTTCATTCTTTCCTTCTCCTTTTTGTATGTGCCTATTCCAACTTTATAATATGTATTTTAAATAAGTGAAACCTCGCAGATTATGGGCTTACAAATAACCCTATTAACAGATCTAAGTGTTCAATCTTTGATTTTTCTGTGCTTCTATAAATATATATGCTTTTATTTTCTTATTTTTTATTTTTTGAGAC